GAAGCTCAGACTCTGGCACAGGATCGGGAACGTTGGAAGCTCTGTCTGACGCGTCTGCCTCAGCGACCCGAAAGGAGAAACGGCGATGGAAGATGAAGATGTAGAATATCAGATAGATGAAAATATGAAGAACAAGATTAACAACGATGACTTGGAAAATGTTTACTGTTTTGACAAAAGATTCTGACCGAGACATACTGTGCTCTTGTCCTCTACCTATGCAGCCAGTGTGCCTATATATTTTGTGACTGCTTGTACTAAAAAACGGGTTTGAAATTATCATCCGACCTTTTTCATTTATTAGTAAAGAGGGCAAAGTGAAATCCATTTCATCGAGTTATCTGCCGGGTGAACTTGCATTTGCTTTCATTTATCTTTCTATTTTGCATTCAAAAAAGGATAGCAGCATAAGGCAATTTTGTTATGGTTTGTTAACTGATTCCAATGAAATGCTAATGCAAAAAATTTCTATCCAAAATGTTTTGCATCACTGCTCTTCGTTAGATATCTGCTGTAGACTTTAAATTGATCCTCTGAATGCACTTTACAACGCCTTCGGGATAGCTACAATGTTCGTCTGATACCTAATTCAATACAATGGTGACTATCCCTTAATGGAGGATCTGAATTTTAGCTCCTGCTTATCTAGTGACAGAGATGTTCGTGCATTCAATGAGTGATAATTGTTTTTCACTTGGCTCGTAAGTCTTGTAAACTAAATGTACCGGGAATAATATAATGTATGCTGGAGAGTTGGGTGACAATACTGAGTTGCATATAGCTTTGTTAAATAGAAATCTTCACAATAGTTAAATTTAATTTCTGAAATACACGTCATCATGTTCTTTCGAATGGTGAACTTGAAAGCTTCTGTGAATCCTTCCAAACGATGAATATTCCTGATAGGGAGGAAGCTGTTGTTTCATTGCTGTTGCAAGTTGTCCGCAGCAGCAGAAGTCGCTGTTTAAATTTAAACAAGTTCTTGAAGCAGAGACCAAAATGTTGGTAGAACCTTATCACACGGATACGCCAATATTCAATATTTTGCACTGCGTTTATACAATGGCTATCAATTGAGAGCGAAGTACTCCATCGAAGGCATTAATAATGAATTAGCTTATTTGCTTGCTTTTTCGAACAGATGAATTGCTCATTACTCAATCCGCATAGTTGTTTACCATCGTCGTGTTTCTAAGTACCAAAAGCGTTTAGCAGCGATTCAATTAGTTCATGAAAATTGTTTTCTTATTTGAGGGTGCTTGTTCCATTCTGTTCAGCAACATCGGATTAATTCGTTCACTTGATCAGAGTATTCTCATCAAGTAGCTGCAATTCCATGGTCATCACAAAGATGGCCTCTTCGTCACTTCTCAGGATCGCGTCAGTGATTCTGGCGTTTTCCTGTTCGCCTTCCACACCGTGGTTTCATCAGTCCTTCGTTCGGTATCACCCACTAAATGACGACGTTGTTGAAATTGACGAGGTAGTTCACTACTCCGAGTTGAGTAAGCAACTATGTTTTGCTTGCTTTCTGACAAACCGATTATCGCAAAACGATTGCCAAAATTTTTGCCGCGGATCCTTAGCACCTGATGATCTACAACAGTCGCAGCTCGATGAGGAACAAATCATCAAGCGAAGAAGGCCGATGGTCAGACTTGGCTGAATGCAAAGGCTGTCGTACCGTAAACCCTCATTTGCGAACTATTCTATTAAAGCAGAAGTTCTATGAGTAAGTTAATGTTCGAACAGTCTGGGTTTACTAGCAGTACAAATCAGTGGAATAAAACCTACATGTAAATGCAACATTGCTTTCAGAGCAGAGTCTTCAAACCACAGTCATCTTCCGCGATTTGTACATGTTCTTTCTACCATGTTTATTATTTACTATGTCGCAACACAATTCAAAGAGCAGAAACTACATTAATTAAAGATGCCTCGCCAGGTCGAAATGATGTCTCAGGGTCCTTCTCTACGTATCTGATCTTTTTTGGACTTGTGCTGATTTAACATATGTCTGGGACCGAACTATCAAAGGTAATCGTTGTTTATATTGAACTACTTTTGAAGGTGCTCAGAAAAGAGCATTCAAGCTCTGTCCATTGGTTCACTGCTTTTATCGCTGCATTCTCAAATTAAAATTTTTAAAACGTGAAATGTGCCTAGCTGTCGGTCGTATTTTCTTTTCAGTAATGGTTTTACTCAATTTTTGGCTTATTGTTATCCTAAAAACAGCTGTATAAAGTGGAAAACTTCAAATCAAAAATGCCGAGGGTGGGTTCGATGAAATGTAGCAATTTCTTCACGGAACGACGAAGTTTTGACACAATGACTACATGTGCTGCACGATAAAAAAGATGTTTAGTACAGTTTTACGAATGCCTAGGACCCATTTTACATGGACTGTTCAGGAATGTTCATTTCCATACAAGGAGCGCGTCAGAAACCCATCAAGTTGACTGGTCTGTAATTTAGGTTTGACGAGTATATTATGAAGCACCATTCAGGAGAAAACTCCAAACGCTGGTATAAAAAACTACTGAACAGAACTTAATCGTAATCTGTTCTGACGAGACAACGAAAAGCAAAAATCTCTTTCTTGCCCCCCCCATCAACCCATTCAACCCATCTACGAACCGCTTTAAAAATCTTCCAAGTAACGATCGTGGCTCTGGTCCTGTTCAAGCCACATTCTTTTCCAGCAAACATTTTTGCCTCATGTTAAACGGGAGGAAAATTATACTTACTACAGTCAGTGCTATGCTACTCTAACGATAGAATGCGGTGGTACCCGTTTTATCATAGGATCATTTGGACAAAACGTTGGCTTCGCATAAAGATTTTTCATCTGTAAGTTTACGTTGTGCGAGGCAGCGCAAGTGCAATCTCACAAGGGGTATTTATGTAGACATCTATCAGTCAAAGAATAACCCACAATCTCTAGAGGAGGAAATGTTTTCACTTGCATTTTTTTCTGTACCTTCTTGACTCCTGTACTCTGCAAGTCAATCTTCAATAGGTGTTTTCACGATGTTTTGAACCATCATGTTTCAACCGATAGTAAATACTGGCCATACGAATATTGGAAACACTTAAAGCCTTTCCTCTTTGCATCACAGCAACACATTCATGAAACTTCCTTATTGAGTCTGCAGTAGAATGTGCCAAATAATGATTCAATAGTTTGCTTGCTAAAAGTCACAGATGGACATAAGAGCAAAAGTCGAAAGCTCGACAAAAAACAAAAAAATTCCCCATGCAAACCACAACTCAGCTCTTGAGCCTCCGCCTGATGGAGGACCATTCAAGGACTCGTATTGGTAGACACAGAGGCCAGAGCGATCGACAAAGCCAGCACGGCAGACGCACTGGTACCCTCCAACGGTGTTTACGCACACGGTGTTCGCCTGGTTGCACTTAGCGCTGTCTTCAATGCACTCGTCTACATCGACACATACCTGTGCCTGGGAATCGAATCGCATACCGCGTTCTTGACACTCGCAGCTCATGTTCAGCCTGTTATCAATGAGGTCATAGAAATGATAATTGTTCAGCATGTCCAGATGACAGCCAGGCCTTTGCAGTTTTGTACAAATATTTAACGGATCCTTCGCGCATTCCGGCTGCACCAATTTCTTCCGGGAACAGCATGGATCAGGGCAAAAACTGAAAGCAAGAACACGTCACTATTCTTTTTTCTTGCTATGTGTTGCAAAGCTGTTATTCCAGAAATCGGCAAAATCAATTGCCCATCTTTTCCATCCCGTGTGCTAGTTTTCCCCCGCTGAACAAGAGTCGTGTTTTCGTTGGTTCAAGACAAACCACAGGGAAAGACAAGACCGCAACTCGTGAAGTACATCGACTCCATTGATGTTGTCACTGTTGATTAGACATTAAACTTTGGGCTAAGGGGCGCCTGACTCTATCGAGAATTGGGGCTCATAGTGCAGCAGTGGTAGATTTGAAAAATAGCCTCAGAGACTGTAAAGGTTTCAGGGTCAGCCTTTTAGAACTCACGGTGAAAAAGCCTATATTAAAATCCATGAATGCGAGACAAGTAAGGTCCGCGAGAAAAGTACAAATTGTCGATTCACCTTCCTGACAGAACGTTGCGAATTTGAATATCAGCGTATCGTACTGTAGCAAATATTCATCATCCGTCAAAACTTTGGCAACGAGCGACGCTGGAAAAGTCAGGTAATGATTGTGTCACCTTTCTTTATCACTTTGAGGCAAATTTCATTAAATACCAGATTAGCATAGAACTCATCTGATATTCAACCTCCCCCCCTTTCCCCAAGGAGACCAGAGATACACCTGTCCCTTATGTATTCCACTATTCCGAGGAAGATTCTTATTGGATCTACAAAAATATGCACTATATCAAGCACACACAGTCGTTGGGGTAACTTCCTGCAAATTTTCTATGCTTGCCACAAGAATGGTCAAAACTTTTTGAACAAGATTACCTGAACCTTACCATAAATTTTCAAATTTCTCACTATATACACTATTTCCCCTTATGGTGTCGAACTCCAACAAAAAGTTTAAATAGTTATACAGTGGCCAGATATGCCATACCTCAACCTCGCACAGCGAAACGGCTCTGGATCCAACTCGTCGATGACTGCAGTTACTTTCATCCTCTCCGTTAGCAAAAGTTTATGAGTAACGTACGCAGCGAAATAGTCATTGAATCCGATGAACCATTTGTCAGAATAGCCGCAGTACGGCAGGTGCCGCAGAACCGGAAGCCCCAACATTGTATACCAACAAAGAAAATAGGAAGCAGTCGTAGAAAATTCGAAGTATTCATCCGCGTTAGCGAACGGCCGATAGTAGTTTATATCAGGCAAATTGTCCACCCGACGCCAGAGGGTCACGTTTCTCCCGCTAACAAAAAAGCCGCTGTCAAAGAAGTCAGCCGTTATTATCTTTGAGTACAACGCCTTTATGCAAGTCAGGAAACCCTGGCGGCAGGGCTTGGCGATATTCTCATAGAGTGCGGACAACGGAGGTTGTGGAAAGCTGCTAAGCGGTATTGGGGTGGCGGTTCTTGTGTCCATCGTGTAAAGCTTGTAAAGCCGCATGTAGAAGGCGATGCGCCCAAGATGCGCCAGCAGCACTTGCTTTTCATCGTCCGTTGTCTTCTGCTCATATTCCTTATGGTATGTGGACAAAACCTCGTCTATGTTTGGAGGAGGAGCGCCAAAGCGATAACTTTTCTCTTCCCATACCTTATTTCCGCTTCTCCAACGAGTCAAAGCATCTTTGTTCAACAGCGACTTTATGCTAAGTGCAGACTGGCCAAGTTTCACTATACATAATAAAATAATACAACTCATAACTGCAAACACCATCCTCATCGTTTGCTCTCAATTCCATTAAACCAAGCGTCTTCGACAAAAAAGTTAAGCTTATTTAAGGATCAAGTTTAAAGTTTGCACGACGGCCACATGACTGTTTTTCATTGTCTAAGTCAAATAACACTTTAAACGATCAGCAGTTTAAAGGAAGCCAACAAAAATCTGTCATTTACCTCCTATCGGAACATTCATAAAAAAATTTTCTCATTCGGTAATTAAAAAACCAAAAATACTTATGTACACCAAAATATTGGCAGTGTCCAGCGTGTCAGCTATAATGACAGCACGCAGTTTAAAGTTGATAATTATTACATAGTAACACTGTATAACACTGCGCAAACTCGAGGTACCATTTTCTGCTTTTTGAATGGCTGGGTAGGTAAAATTCCTAAGGTTTCAGCAGACTTCTTTAATATACTAAATTAAATGATAAGACAGGCATCAGTGATGTTTGTGACATAATGATGACGAAGTTCATGCAATTTAAGTGCCAAGAGAATGACATTGCCAATAAGGGAGTTTTGCTGTCTGCATCAAAGTCACAGACACCAAACAATGGAGAGAATGTCTTTTAGCCATAATGATCTGTCATCAGCCCTGAAACAATTAGCCAATGAGGCGGCATAATTGCAGTAATCAAAGCTTGGTTCACAATTATCTGGTTAACTCAAGCAAACCTGTCTGATAATATGATGCTTTGATTAACAGCTCGAACGAAGGACTGGATTCCTTCCGCATCGATCCCTGAAGGAAAACGGTAACCTTTTCATTATACTGACTGACTTCTGAACAGAGGATGAGTGATCTTGGACTTCTGAAAACCCATGGAACTCGAGCGTTTTACAATGCTGCTAAACATTAGTTCAGTTCCATTAAAAAGAAAAAAACCATTAATCGAAGTACTATGCTATCTACAATGAGATGTCTGGTGTAAAGGATGTCGAACATTAATGAGGTTATAGGGTTGGCCTTGGTTCTTGTTTCGTTGGTCTTCATTTATCCAGTATCCGCTGCAGTTCTTAGCGTTTCAACATTGAAACTGCATTGCGAGTTAGATTTGATTAAGGGTTCAGAAGAAGAAGACTGCCAGCTAACCGTTAGAATTAGATAAGTATCTCATGCCTAAGTAGCCGGAGGCATGAAACTGGCGAGCCGGTGTCATCGAAGGCGAAGAATGACGATCTTAGCCATCTATCCTCCACCCGGCGAACTTAATCGCCTGTAAAACTCAGCTCGAGGGCATCAGAAAGCAGAATGAGCATGAGTAAAGATGATGCTAACTGAGGGAATGCCAAGTTCCAAACACTAGCAACACAGCTCGTCGCAGTCAAGAGAAATTTTTCTTCATCAGGCTACGGAATACCAGTGGACTGGAGTATGCTATAGGCACTAAGATGCACCTAATTACAAAGAAGGTTGCTGTTTCAGTTGATGGAGAAGGGAAAGTTTTCGTTTCATGTGTCACTTAGGGGAGATGATCAGTGATTAACCGACGTGATTTTCCGTTACACAGTCGATTTTAACATAATTTGCATCTTCGCATTTTTCGATCCTTCGTCAGGATTGTCCTGCATGAGAGATCTGTCCTGGAACTCGCTGTTATTTATGAACTTGAAACTTTATGGTTCAGATTCCTACAATCATGATATCCCAAATGTACGAGGATGTGAAGAGAAAAGTAGACATGAAATTGCCTAGCCACCTACTGCCTTTCTACATTCATCCTTAGGACAGCTTCAAAAGATATTTTCATGGAGTTTAAAACATGATGAGATTAATTGAAGATCTTGAAGCAATTATCACAATCACACTATATTATCATGAAAACATTTTGTACGTCGTGTATGTTACACGGGACACGGCTCATCCATGACCAATTTTCACAACGTATTGCACCTCTTTGTAGATGCTCTTTGTAGTTGCCCGGTTATGCTTTCCAATTGAACCAGGTCACAGTTCAACGATATTTTAACATCCGTAGTGCCAGATATACCTCGCATCATTTCATCAGCTAGAGCCACCTCATGCTCATCACGAACGACATTTCAGGAGCTAAAACCCCCGACAGATATGTTCATGATCCGTTGGCAATTAGAAGCAAAAGGGCGGTGCAATAAGCCGTGAAATCTGGTTTTGGAGCAATCATCCGCCACAAGCACACTTTCAATTATTGAACGATCAGTGTTCACCGCAGAGTGCGCATTATATATTTTTGAGTTCTTCAAAATACCATTTGCATTATTATACAAGGGACATGTCCATTTCCGTAAGCGTCGTTTAGATAGTATCTACATTATGCAAAGGTATTATCAAACATACGTTTCTTTTCATAACTAGCCTTGTTTCTGCTGCCATCTTTGAACCTTTCGCTCAATAATGAAATGAATGAGATAGTTTTTGAAAAGATAACTCCAAATACATGGACGTCTCAATATTTTCAATAATCAAGACTAAAATTCAAAATGTCACGATGGCACTTACTTATGGTTATAATGAAACTGACGTCACATTTTAGCGCAAATGGATGTTTCTTGTTTTTCTTCTCTCTTCTCAGGAAATCTTATTCTCGACTCTAAAATTAAGCTCTCGTGCATTATACTAGAAGCAAGCTAAGTACTAGGGGATATACGTACCTATTTTCAGCGACGATGTGCAACAGGCACCGCGTACCAAATGATTTGAGGTCACTAAATCGGTTGATTCAGGCAGAAGCAACTCCTTGCCGGAACATAGCATTTCATTAAATGTAATTGAAAAACTTCGCACATCACGAAAGGTGCTTTCCAACTTTGCATTCTGAGGCATTTTGGACCTGTGAGTACATGGCGTTGCGTAACTGTGATATTTTTCTGCTGCGCCGGCCTCCTAAATTTTTCTCAATGGTAAATTGCTCTATGACAATAAAAAATATTTCAATCGAAAAATTGACATTCAAACTTATAGGCTTAGAAGTCATTCGTGAAATTCATGTGGCGAATACCTGATGAGCAAGTCTTCACATCCTCTTCAGGAAACATTTATCAAATTGTTGTGCAGCAACGCATTAACAATATTCTAGTTCAACCTTTCAATACAATTCTGTGTTCTCTGCTGTTTATCATTTATGTATTTCGTAATGGCGCTTCAACTCGATGTTAGTGTCGAAGAAAGGTCAGATGCAGCCGAACGGGTTCACAGGTTGCAGATAGTGGGACAACCTTCAGATATGACGGTTAATTACAAAATAAGTGAAGAACCCGACGAATAAGCAGTCACGGAGACCACGTTAAGACAATGCTACGAGGATGCGGTGAGCCAACCCTTGGCAAAGTTGGCGCTAGAAAATACCGCATGTCCGGTTGATAGCGCGGTGACGTAATGAAAACATGCCGCCATCAAATAATCATGCTGTTAACCCTAGCGAACCGGAGCCGGTTCCCAGCCCGATTGAGAAAGACAGGTTGGCGTCAAACAGGCAACTAGCCTTAAAAACCAATATCAAAGCCAAATATGACGAGTCATCTTACCTCTAGAATGAATTCTAGGGCGTTCACCACAGGCGATGCGCAGCAGCGATTCCCGGTGGCTACGAAAAATGAGCAAGGGTACCAGTCACTGCGTCGTTGGCAACCGCAAAGGGAGAGACTGGCGTACCAACAACGAAGTGAGAAAATGCTAATAGCTACTTGGAACATTGGAACAGTGACGTAAAGAATATAAAGCTAGCGGAAGCTCTTCAGAAAAGAAAAGTTTATATCGCTTGTATTCAGGAGACGAAATGGAAAGGTGAAAAATCGAAAGAGATTGGACTAGGATATAAACTTATTTATTATTGTGGAACATGAAGCAGAACAAACGCGTCGGAGTGGTATTGAATGAAGCGACCAAAAATAGGGTATCCGAAGTAAATCGAATTAACGACAGAATCCTGACGTTAAGCTGGCTCTGAAAGTGGTATCTTAAATATACTAAATGCTTACACCTCTGAGAAACCGGAAAGTCCACATTTTAGGAGAGCCTAGATACTGCACTGCAAAACATACCGCGAAACGGAAAGATGATAGTCTGAAATGACCTTAAACATGACGGGAAACACCATCATGGTTACGACAGGATCCATGGCAGAAATGCGCATGGCATGTTAAATAAAGGAGAGAACATCTAGCAGGTGGCAGTTGCATATGGTCTGGCTGTGATAAACAGGTTTTTCCACAAAAAACAGACAACCACCTGCTAACCTACAAGAGCGGGCAGAAGAAATGTCAGATCGGCTACTTTCTACTCCAAAGGATTGAACTGGTCAAGTTACATGAAAAGAAGACCCATCCAGGAAGTTGCAAATGTAGCCTAAGCA